TTTGGTGGATTGATGTGCAAACCACCGACAAAAATCATGTTGTCCATTTTAGGTTCAGCGAACGCTAATGGTGTGTAGTTATTGATTAATATAGCAGAGTGATTCTTCTCCATCGCCGAAACACTGGGGAATTCAACTGTGAAAAGTCAGAAAATTATAACAGTAGTGGGATAACTAATCAACTCATGCACAGCTGAATATGTCTTACTTGGCAAATGTCCAAAGTATTTCTGTACAAGCGCATCCATTTTCGGAAAATACTCAAATTCACGGAATAAATCAAGGCGAAGTGAGCAATAGCTATTCAGGGCGCGTTCCCAAAAGTTCATGCGATCAGAAAATGGTAAAAATTCCATAGGCACATACGACCAAGGTGTCACATGGCCGAACATTTGGCTCATGTAGTTTTGTTGTGCAAATGTGGCTGAACTGACAACGGGTATTTTATAGACGTGGGCCAAGGCAAGAAAGGCTTCTTGATGTAACTGCTCTACCAGTAGCAGATCGTAAACGCCTTCTGTTTTTTTGGAATTTATCAGAGCCTGTACTTTTGGCTGCTTTAACGTGTGTTCGTTACCTAGCACAGCCACATACTTTATGATTTCAAAATAAGTCGATAAACTATTTTCCATTTCTAGGTTGGTTTTTTTCCCGATAATTTCCTTAACTGAAACGAGGCAGCATGTATGTACATACAGATATGCATATATATGTACGTATGTACTATACTAATTAAAGTTTGAATAGGTTATAAAATTTTACCAAACTTCCATGAATCAAACGCTGGTTCAATGAGTATCTCTGTGTAGTTGCTGCCCAATTTGAGTGGTTCCAGCGTAATTGCGGTTATCATAGTGACCTGAAGGTGTGCTAACCAGAAGTGTTTTTAAGTTTATATAATAAAATATTATGAGGCTGCTGCTTATACCTCATGGCCATGTTTCACTAACTCGCTAATCAGGGTGCGATGCATCTGGTAGTGACTTACGGTCTCAGCTGCGTAGACTGCAAGTATTCTGGCGCCATCTGTTGAAGGTGCTTGAGCCGCAAGCATAGCGAATGCCAGTAGGCCGACAAGAATTCTGGAACACTAAATATGTTCATAGGTACATAAGTGGATGTATCGAAATAATATTTAAATAGTAACGGGCATATATATATGTATGTGCGTGTGTTTACTATAGGGGTATTCATGGAGTCTTCCAAAGCCCTTGCACGCTAAAATCCGGTTTTCCTATGGGACATCTTTGTACACCATGAACCGTACAAGGTATTGGCAAGACTACTAAAATACCCCAAATATCTTCCCTCCTTAACGTCGTCCACGCGCACTATGAACTACATTAACTATGCTGATGTCTCGCCTCCAAAAGCAGGGATCACACGATTTGTACATTTGTACATTGTCTCAGTAACAGAGTGGTGTTATTTGGATAGATAAAAATTTGTAGACAATACCACTCTGTGACTGCCAATATGTACAAATCTGTACAAATCATGTGATCCCCCCTGCTGATCGCGCTCGATCAACCCCCAAAAACTATGTTCACCGCCGCTCCTGTTTTCGTAACTGCTTATTTATCGTCGAAAAGCAACTCATCTCAACATTTTCCCTACTAACCGGTTTCTTGGCTGCTAGTCAGCTCATCATCGAATTAAAAACAAGAACAAAGCCTTTACGCATTTCATACGTCACATGCTCTCCATGCTGACACTAGAGAAGCTCTGACCACCATCAACACCACCTGCTCCGTTTTAAGGCTGGTTTTCACAATGCCAAATTGAATGACATTTGTCGTCAAATAAGTGAAAACAAATTGTCAAATTGGACTAAAAAAACGGTCTATCGTTTGATTTAGGTCAGAATATGATTTCAGTCGTGTATATGCACTGCTAATTTGACTATCTATCCGCTTTTGGCCAATAATATATGTAATCGGAAAAGGTATGAATAAATGAGATAAAATCGTCCCAAACATGACAACAAATTTTGCCGTCAAAATTTGACATAGTGAAAACCAGCTCTTAGTCGGCGTCGCTGTTAGCATAGCTGCATCTTAAAAACTCGAAAGTCATTTGATCACAGACATCCGGACAAACTGGGTATTTTATTCTTTTTTCTGAACTGGAAAATATTAGCGCTATTATCTAAAGGTTAATGATTCTAATTATTAAATTATAAATCGAAATCGAATGACTTGTTTTCGTTAATAAAAAAATCCACGGAAAAGGCAAAGATTTCTGGGCCAAAAATCCGGGCATTTCTAAAGCATCGAAGCCGAACATACAATTTTGTTTTTAGGATAAAAATGGCTTAATACAGTTTTATTTAAAACAAAGCAAAATATAACTTACTATCTAAAAAACATGTACAAAAAAATTCCAAAATTTTAGAACATTTATAAAAATTAGACGAATTAGAGTTAAGGTTCATCACAATTGGAAACATTTTAATCAGATTTTCTAGAAGTGTTTCGAGTATGCTACATTTTGAAGCCCATTAAATTTTAGTATAATAAAATGCGAGTTGGTAGAAGCTTTGACTTACCGTTGATTTTTGGCAATTTTTTGATCGCGCATTTTCTTCCATACACAGTATGTTCAACAATTTTTTTGTATGGAGAAAACAGGCAACACCTTCCACAAAATTAACCATATATCAACGGTAAATTCTAGCCACTTCAAATTTCCATTTTGAATGGAAAAGGTTACAAAACAGCATACTCAGAATGTTTCTAAGAAATCGAATGAAAAATCATAACCACGTTAAATTATAATCACCATTTTTATTCAACACCACCAAAGTGAATATTTTTCTTCACTAATTCACAAATGTATTTTTACTTTTTTGGGTTTGCATGCCTCGACCCACCGCACTCTAAAACTAAATCTTAACACTTCAAACACTAGTTATTTAAGGAAAAAATTGTGTGATACATTTTTTACATTTTCTGTTGTAGGCGCAGTGGGCGTAGATAGCTCTGAGTTCGGGAGAGGGGTGATGTGATTTGTTCAATTAGAACCCGAATCTCACAATCTAGA